TGAGAAGTTACAACACTGCCAGGCATTCTGGTATGGCTCCCACAAGGACTTCCAAAGTGCGATTTTCTTTTACAAAGCCCTATTAGTCACTCATTTTACTTCTGGCAAGAAATGGAAGTGGCATATATTGGTGTGACTGTACTTTAAAATTGCCAAAAACACACAGAGACACACTTGCACATACTTTTCCAACCTTACCATGGGGATATGGGAGTTTGCTTTTTAACGCTTGGATTTAGATGTAGAACGATAGCCGTAAGTACTAGGATGGTAATGAAGACCATGGCAACAAAGGCAATGCTGATGATGAGTGCAGTCCCCGAAAAGAGGATGGGACTCTTGGTAATGGCTTTATGCCTCATTTGCCTATGCCAATGTCTCCTTCATCAGAGATTTAATAATATTTTATGTGTTTCTGAAATTTTCTCTAGTCCCTATTATATACGACTGTTGTTTGCTAAGTTCCTAAGGACAAGGATTATGTCTTTTACTTCTGGCTTCTTTATTTCATTTGTTTATATATTCAGCAGATATTTTATTAAATGTCTACTATGTCCAGATACTGTGTTAAGACCTAACACTCAGTGCACAGAAAAAGTTTTTTCTAATAAATGAGAAACCTTAAACTGTAGATATATAACCTTATAAACAGCTTGAGAGGCAGAAATATGATTTATTCTTTTCATAGTAATATATAGGGAACAAATAATTGATTATTTTATGTTTAATAAATACACTGAGTAATTCATAGGAAATAAAACATAATACTAATACGAGGTTATAATAATAGGGAAACTGTGCAAAAGATAGAAGGAATTCATGAGAACGATGCATTTTGTTCTCAGTTTTTCTATAAAGCTAAAGTTGCTCTATTAATTTTTAAAAATTATAAAAAATATAAAATTTGAGGTCCTATTTATGGTATGACTCCTGGCCCTACTGACAATCATATAATAACTGTTTCTGTATTATTTTGGATTACAGTTCAGCAAACTTTAAAAGCTAAATTGTATTAACCCAGCATGGATACTAATTTTCTAAATCAAGTGTTGTATGGTCAAATTCATATTATACTCCCTAGAACCTAAAGCAGTGAACGCTTATAAGTGCTCATAACGTCATGGGGCTTGTTGATCATAAAACATAGAACAGTATCCAGCAGAGACGAGGCATCCAATAACTGTTTGCTGAGGAGGAAAGAAAGAAATACAGAAAAAACAAAATTATGACAGTTTACCAGAATGCTATGACACTTTTCATAGATAAAAAATATGCCTGTAATCTTTTTAAATCGGCACTATTTAAGAGAAAAATAAAATCAGTGAAAAACTATCTTAGACATGAGAGTTCACTGAGATTTGTATTGTTTATGTTTTTTTGGATTCATAAAAGCATTCAAATTTTAAAAGGAAAAAAAATGCAAAAATGCTAGATGACTTGCTCTCATTTTTAATCCATCTCCCATCTCAATTTATTTTGGCAACTTCAGCCATTAAGGCCCTAAGGATTATCTTGGATTATAGAAAACTTCACGGGTTTAGCTACCTATGAAATATGTCCGAAAGGGCGTCCAAACTGGACATCTCAGCTCCTTTACTAAACTATGCGATTAGTAAAAATCTTAAACACAGTGTTAACAAATCTTTGAGGAGAATTAAATCAAATGGAATAGAAATGAATTGCCAAAGACAACACAGCTAGAGATTTATCAGTAGAGGTACTTAATTCTGTTTCACATCAGAGTCACCTGGGAACAGTTCAAAGTACTGATTTCCAATCTCCAACCTCAGATACTCTGATTTGATTGGTCTGAAAATCTTTAAGGTCTACCTGGAGTTTCTAATTCTTGGTGAGCAGCCCTCATTATGGATGGTTGCTGAATTCAGAGAAGCTCTGGGATGCCTGGGGATACTGGACACGTTTCTGGACTGAGTAGTCATTGTCGGGAGAGAGTTGATTAATTCATATGTTGCACAGCTTCGAACAGGGCAAGAGGTATAAAGAGTCCAGTGTGTCTGTGTTGCAGGCAGGTCACCATTTATGTGAGCTGGCACAAGAACGTTAGCATGTCTGTGGAGGTCCGTTTTTAGACGTGTGTTTGCTTTCTGGATGCCTGTGAGATGTGTGTTGGGGTTGTGTGTTTGAGGTGAGGGTGATGTGAAGTGCCAGAAAGCAGATCTTGTAAAGGAGCTTGGGAAGGATGACTGAGAGTCCATATGAACTGAAAATGGTGTGACATGAATGCACAAGGGGTGGCCGCTCTGATTTGTTCATGTGTCTATTAAAAATGCAAATACATGGAAAGTTCTGAACTAAATTCACTGTGTGTGATAGAGAAGTCATATGACTTCAAGACTGGGGAGCGATTATATAAGAAGGGAAGAAAAGTGGGAGTTCACAGAGTGGCTAGGGGAGAGTAGGCAGGTGATAAGGTTTCTTTGGAAGACAGTCCCACTCTGTGCTTGGACATGGAGACTGTTGAGGAATCTAAGTGAAAGGCATTCTGGAAACACCTTCCCCACTTCCCTTACCTTTAAGGTTTCTAAAGCAAATGGATCTTACCCAGAAATAGAGGCTGGGGCCTCCCCACTGCAGGCTGGCTCTTAATTCCCACCCCAGGAGCAGCAGCTTCCCTTCTGACTGCAGGCACAGAATAGGGAATGTCAGGGAAACGATGGAGGGAGATGTGCCTGCCAGTGACAAGAAGGTCCTGGGTCCAGGATCTGCCCTCAGCTAGATACGAAGCTCCTCAAATGTCAGTCTTGTCTAATGAGCAGTCAGGGGACTGGTCCTGGCTAAAGCCTTCCTTTTCAGAGACAGGGAGTCTCCAAGAAGGGGATACTTCACCAAGCACAGTTTTCTTCAGCCTGCACTGCTTTTGGTGAGGAATCATGGCAAACCAGGCCAGCAGAGGAGAATTTAAGATAAAATCCTCAGGAATATTGCCCTGGGAAGGAGGACTTGCTTCCATTCAAAGGAGACAGGCACTAAGGCTGAGGCCACCCATTTCAGAGTTTTACGCACATCCAAATCCATCTTCCCCCTCCTGCCAGTGTCAGCAGCAACTGCCAGACCCAGCGCCACAGGGGCTGCCTTACATGACGTTCTGGTGTTTATTGATCCTAATCATAAGAGCTGATACAGACCGGTGAGCCCTTGATAGCCTTCAGAATGCATGCACGTCCAATACCTCTTACAACAATAATACTAAAAGGTACTGCCATTGTTCCCATATAATAAACACAGAAATCAAGATGCAGAAAGGCAAAGGAACATTGCTGAGTAGTAAAAGGTAGGGCCAGAACTGATCCTGAGTCTTCCGACTCTAAGTCCCAGGCTCTTTGCATAACAAAGGTAAGTACATACCAAAGACCCAGAAATCAACCCACATCTGATATCCAGATAAATGTTCAGCCAAGTGCAGAAGTGGCCTCTGAGAGAAAATCCATCCTGCTCCCGTCGCCTGACACCTTCACCTCCTCATCGCCCAGTGAAATACGGAATTTGAATCCAAAAGTAACCAAATGCACAGGAGATGAAAGGGGTACCATAGAATGGCGATTCTGAGCAAAGGTTTTAGAGTCAGACATACGTGAGTTTCAAATGTATTAGCTGCATTTTCTTGAGCAACTCATTTCACCTCTCTAAGCCTTAATGTCATTATACGTAAGATGGAAATAATGCCTTGCATAGCTGTGAGAATTCAATCAAATCATTTATGAAAAGCCCTGAGCATGAAGCCTGGTGCATAGAAAATACTCAAAAGTTCGCTTCCTTTTATTTTCCACATGCATGAATGCGCGCGCACACACACACACACACACACACACACACACACAAATATAACTATAGACACCATTAGCTGATGAGCCACCATGGGCTCATTACTGATAATTAACGTCCTTGTGGTGACTTGCTCATCACACTGCCTCTATGGTCTCAGCCAGAATAAACCTTAAAAAGGAAATGAAAGCAGAGGTATGGAGTGGAAGGAACCCTGGACTAGCAGCAGAGAGAAGCTCAACTTCATTTTGAGCTTCACTACAGATGTACTGTGGGACTTGAACAGGTTGGTCCCCTTCCTGTCGTTTTTGACATCTGTGGAGCAAGGGGATCAGATGAGAGGCCTAAGGACCTTTTCAGGACTCTTAATTCTGTGTTCCTCTATAGAAAGGATGTACAAGCCAACCATCAACGATCGGCAAAATGGTGCTGAACCCCCTACTGGCTTGAACAGTACGAACGCTTGCCTCAAATGGCTGGTCTGAGAGTTTCAGCCACTCGGAAAAGTTCTCTTTCCCTTTGGATGGGACTCTTGAACTCAGGCCAAGACTCAGAGGTCCCAAATGAAAACAGTCCCAGTCTTTCCATAAAAGAGGGAAAGACACCCAGAGCCAGCGAGGAGATGAGTCTGGGAAGCTGTATTTCATCGTCACCAACTGAAAAATCCTCCATGCACCCGGCCTCCCCCAGGCCACCCCAAAGCTCAGGGGAAGCCACCCCTCATCCAAAGTTACCCTACTCACAAGTAAATCAGCAACTCCCCTGAAAAACAAAAAGTGCTTGGTCTACGTTATCTCCAAAACTCAGGACCTTCTAACACACTACTAAATGCCTAAAAACTTAGCTCTCTTGCTCTGCTTTCTCCATCCTGAAACTAATTCTGCAATCGGCCTCTCTTGCCTGCCAACAATTTCAACTCTGCTAACGCTGTTTATTGTATCTTGCAGCTGCTATGGATTCATTTATTTTGCTTCAGCCTTCTCTGGTTATTAGTGCTCTTTATTCTTCCCTTCATAACATACATTCAGACCCCCAAAAATGTGGGATCTGATTTCTCAAGTCTGTGGTGCCTCATTCTGTTCCTTTCCTTGCCTGTCTTAAAACGCCCTTCTGTTTCCTTTATAAAACTTTTCCTGAGACACCAACAGAAGTGTATGCGGAGCTTTCGTTTTCAAAAAAGAACAAAATAATAAAGAAAAAAGACCCACATAACTTACTTTCATCCAGGGGTGCACAGTTTTGGAAAGAAGAAAACAGAGCTATAATCCACTGCGTTTCCCCAACCCAAAAAGAACAATTTGTTGTGAAACGCTTCTTTTTCCACTTTGCTGGTGAAGGAGCCCGGTGGTAGGCATACATCCACAGGCTGATGCAAGATGCCTTTGAGAGAAACCTCACATTCTGAGGATTCCTGGGAAAGCGCCAGGGATCCCAGCATCCAATATATTGCACATTTGGTTTCAATTAGGAAGGGGGTTGGGGAGGGAAGAAGGAAAGTCACCAATCAGAGCTGTTTTCTGTTTGGAGACTATTTCTCTTGACCCAAGGGACTATGGGCAAAGCTATAATTTACAGCAAAACCCATTCATAGAAGAAAAAATATGTATAACCATAGGACAGACTTAAAGACACAGCTCCCTTCTGCCTTATTCCCGCCCATATCCATCTGCTTTTCCTTCCCCTCCATCTGAGACTTGATCCCCATCCTGTGATCCCCCCGCCTACCCCGCACCTCGTTTTTCTTGAGCTGAAGCTATAAGCACAGCTTAAAGTTTGGGGTTTCTTCCAGTTGAAGCTTCCAGGACAGTTGGGGCACACACGTGGAGCTAACCTGTAGTATTTTGGCCATGAAAGCCTAGAGCCGAGCTTTCCCCCGAAAAATCTGATTTAATCCCTTCCCACTACTGCTTCCCCGACCAAAAAAAACTGGACAGTGCCAGAGTCCAGGATGCCTATTTTTTTTTTCACTCAATTCCCAGTTGGCTGCTGCCTCTGAGGGTCTGTGGCTGTTCTGGATTCATGCAGCTAAATGAAAACACAAGTGTTTATAAGGACTTTCTAAACTACTTTGTAAACTCTTCTTTCCCTCCTTTATCTTCTCCCCCCTCCCCTCCCTCTTCCATGGCCATGGGCAGAGATCATGTGAAAGGGGCGGGTAGGCAGCAGGGGAGGAGCCTTCACTCCACTCTCCAAAGGATAACTGATAATCCTCTCCATCCATATAGACTCCAGCCTTAACCCTTCAGAGCCTGGATCATTCCTGTCCAAGCCCAGGCTGGGCTGCTCTGGAGGTCCCAATTCTCCTTGAGTATGGGAAATGCAGGGCAAGCAGGAACCCAAGGGCAGGAGATCCAAAGAGGGAGGTAGAGGGCAAAAGGCAGGTAAAGAAGACCGAGCCTACCTTTGAGAGCGAGCCTTCTTGTAAAGAGACCTCCTTTCTCTGGGCAGTGGAGTTATCACCAGCTCTTCTCTATTTGTAATCCAGAATTGCATAGTCTCCAAGATGAGCAAGAAAAGAAGTGAGCAAACAGGAAAGGGAGGATGGAAAGAGATCACGGAGGGACGTTCCCATAGTAAGGAGCAGGAGATGTTTCATAAGGGGAATGGAAAGGTACCCACACACACACAATGAGGGTGGCCATGAAACTAAGAGCCAGTGTTGAGTCATTGTTAAGTCCCTAAAAGTCACATAAGCTCAGCACCAGTCTGAGGGTCAGAAAGCAGCCGTTAATATCTGTGCCTCACAGCTGTTACAGAAAAGGACACGGAGAACATGGGAATCGTTCAGAGGGCAGCCATGGAAATGATTAAAGGCAGAAAGTGAGATCTTACAGAAAAAAATTAGAACTAAAGTTATTTTATGAAGAGAAAACCAGTACAGAGATCAACTATTAAGAAGACTCTTCAAATAACTTACAGTATCTGAAGTCAGGTCTGAGGGTGACTCAGGCCAGGACAGGCAGCTCAACTCAATAAATATCTGTTGGGCCGTTATCAGGTATAGGTATTTTGCTGGGTGCTTGCCAGAGACAACTAGAAATTCTCCTCAAATGTCTATGCCTGGAGTAGTTCACCTCTTTGGCATTACTATAAAGAATGCACCAAAAATACAATCTGTGATTTCACAGATTTGGTGATGCTACAGGTCAAATGTGGAAAGCAGTGTAACAACTTCATAAATTCAGAGCTTAATAAAGGACAGGGCCTGTAGGTACAGATATGTGTTTTCCCTTTTTCATTTTAAGGTGGTTCTACTGCACAGGTGAGATTGTTTTTCTCTGTGTATAATTAGGACTCAAGTTACAGTTTTAATTGAGCCAGGACTGAGCCAGTGATGTAGACCCCAAAACCCAGACACACCTGGGTTTGTCTGAGGCCGAATAGGCAGGCAAGAGTCTATTTGTGAATAGATCAGGTAAGTTTCTGGGCAAGAACTCACTGAGCAAAGACAGGAACAAGGGATAAAGGACAGTCCCAAGAACAACCGAGCTATGTCAACAGTAAGGACTAGCTCAGAGGAAAACGGTATATCTATCAATCACTCAAAACACCCTCTCCATCACTCAGGCTATTCTCAGCCAAATCTTGGGTCTAATCTTGAACTCTAGGATGAAGGTCCTACAAAGAAAGGAGCAAGGAAAAGCTGGAAGTGATATTTTACTAAAATAGTTGAGGGGTATTTAAAGCATGAGGAGGATTCATTTGACTGAAGCCTCCGTTTTCAGAGACAACTCTGGTTGAGTGACAACCAGTGTTCAGCCTTGACAACAGCCATTGCTGTAGGAAGAGCTGGAAAGTAAGAAAATGGCAGATGCTAACTTCAGAGCTGAAAGGACTAACCGGTGGAACACACTGAAGAAATTTCCTGGGAACTCTCAGAGTGATTTGGTAGAGTTTTGAGTAAGACTGGAATTCCTAATATTGTGGGAACAGATGTGGAGAAATATCATTTTCTTCCTCTTCCGTGAACAGATTTTACCCCCTGGTTGGTCTGTCTTGGGAAATGTGAGTCATTGCTTTCAGAATTATTTATGTTCCATAGGAAGTAATGCATTCTAGTTATGAGGATTGTTTTACAGTGAAAACAAATGACTAAAAAACAGTATCGAATTCCATTACTGGGATTTTACTAAAAATAGGACGGATCTATCTGGAACGGTCAAGATACAGTGTTAATTAAAAGTAGGATGTGCAAGATGACTTTTCAAGACCTTTTCTAGTCTACAAGCCAAGGTTAAAGTAAATTCAGGAGCGGAGCATTGAAATAACTATAATATTTCTGTCTGTAGCTAGGAGCTGGATGCTTTTGTGATGCCTTAGGATGTAAAATGAATTTATCTAACTTAGTTTAAGAAACACACATATACCTTAAAAGGATATATAAATATTCACAGAAACCAAACTCACGTGGTACATTTAAGTTTCACAAGGAATTTAAGCCACAAATTAACCACCAGTAACTTAATCGACTGGTTTTTCTTCTCTGCTGCTCTGTCCTCTCTTCTCCTTTCCTCCTCTCTTCTTTCCCTTCCTCTCCTCTTTTCTTCTCCTCTCCTCATTCTCTTATTTCTTCTGTCTCTCATTCATTTCTTGTTTCTCTCTCTCTCTCTCCTGCTTACCACTGCTCATTTTACTTTAGCCCATTCTTTTTCAGCAAACCAGCCTTTTCTGCTTCTTTTCACATAATATTATAGGTGGTTATAATAAGCACCTGCGACGATGCCTTAGCTCTCAAATTTCTCTCTCCTCACTTCAGGTGAGCATGAGAGAATGACAGATATTATGGGAGTCTAGTTCCAGAATGCTGGGCTGGAGACTTATTGGTCAAATGTGTTTCTTATGTCCATCCTCTACCTCTAAACTGTGGAGGGCAATGGATCATATAATATGAATACAGCTCCAAGGGCTCATACACATACATGAGTCAATTCTCAGAAAAGGGATGTCATACATTAGAAGGTACCCCAAAATTGTCTGCTACATCAAAAATTATTCAAGCACGCCAATCGCTGGATTTTAAAGAAACTATGCCTTACTAACACAAAACCAGAGAACATTGTGTTCATTGGAGTTATATTCTGCACACATTTAACTTAAGCACCAATTTTAGAACCTAATTCTATTTTTTTTTTTTTTTTTTGGAGACAAAGTTTGCTCTTTTTGCCCAGGCTGGAGTGCAATGGCACGATCTTGGCTCATTACAACCTCCATCTCCCGGGTTCAAGCGATTCTCCTGCATCAGCCTCCCAAGTAGCTGGGATTACAGGCACACAAAACCATGCCCAGCAGATTTTTGTATTTTTAGTAGAGACAGGGTTTTACCATGTTGGTCAGGTGGTCTCAAACTGCTGACCTCAAGTGATTCGCCTGCCTCAGCCTCCCACAGTGTTAGGATTACAGGTGTAAGCCACTGCACCCGGCCTCCAATTTTGGAACCTAATTCTTAAGACTCCCTGCTATCAATTGATCTATTCTAATAGACAAATTCATTGACATATATTAGGGTATAAAGTTTAATAATCTTTAAAAATCTGTATGGAGGAACTCTTGTAGACAACACAAACACTTTGGTTTCCTAAAAAGCAAAATACTCTGAATGTTCAGGCAGCTGCATGTAGACTTTCTTTTAGTTTCTTCCTGAATTTACCCCATGATTCTTGAATCTTAGTGTTCTTAAGAATCACCCTACTAAGTCATATCCACAGAAGTATGTGTGCTATCTTTATGACTGATTTAAAGGTCTTTCAAATATAATTTTAACTCTGAGAGATTGTTCACTTTATCATCTGGGTCCTAACCCACACTACTAGGTTCTGTTCTCCTGTCAGAGACTTCCATGGGAGATGATCCAATTATAAACCCTTAGGGGGCAGAGTCCCCTTGAACCAGTCATCAACTTTTCTCTTTGTAAGATGGGGCACAATATGAACTGACAATTCGCAGGGCTGTGAAGATCAAGTAAGATCCAGAAAGTCTCATTTATTGAGTACAAATGATAGCAGGGGACATTCAGGATCTATAAAGCAGAGCTCCTGACACTGTTTTATACAGTGTCACTGTAAAAACATTGTAGAAAACTTCTGACACTATGTGCCAAACACTGTTATAAGAACTCTACATTTATTATTTCATTTAACACGAGAATTTTACTGGATGGGTACTATTATTTTCCCAGTGTCCATATGAGGAAAACAATGCACAGAGAAATTAGCTTGCCAAAGATTGTACCTGGCAGAGCTGGAATACATCTGTGTATGTATGTGTATGCGTGACAACAAAATATGTGTCTGTGCGACAATAATATGTTGTGTATGTGCGTAGTGAATAGGAAAAACTTCAGAGCAGTTGGGAAATAGTTAATTCTTAGTTTTCTCGGGATTGAAGTCTTGTCCTCCATAGGGAAAATCACCTATGTCCTTTTCTTTCCCATCCTTTGCTCTCCCGAAGGCCATCAGTGACT